CTTTCAGAAGATGAAAATCTTCCAAATGAGGATTATAAGAACAAATGATTATAAAGAGCAAAAATTTGCTTAGCCAACGAGACTAAAATATCTTTTGTGAATTCCTCAAGATTTTTTTTAAGAGGGTGTATTTTTCCCCTCCACCTCGCCTCAGTGTTATATGCAAAATGCTTAATCAAGAAACAACATCTTTATGGACATATTCATCCCAGTTGTATAAATGAGGAAATAAAGATCTAGAGAGGACTAGTGTATAAGTAGCCTATCAAGGTCTTGACAAAAGCTAATGGAAAGGAGGGATGGGAGTTAAATTCCAAGTTCTCAGTTGATGCTTTATCTGTCAGTGTTATCAAATGAGATATAAATAATTTTGAAACTTTAGAGTCCCTATGAAAATGCTAGCTTTTAGCATCATCTTATGTGTGTCCTTAACTAGGGTCATTTTCTCTTTGTGGGAGAAGACTGGACTATGAAAGTAGTTAGATTTCACAGGAATGATGTTTGGCTCTCCCTGGGATGTGGAGGTGGGATATTAGAAGTCATGAGAGACTAATGCCCCAGGAATTAACAAGGTTATAGAAATAAAAAGAAGGAGAGCAAAAAAAAATATTATTGCAACTGATAGCTGTCATTGGCTTAGGGTTGGATTGGGTCTCTCTTTCTTGAATGTGTGTGCTCTTTGTCTCACACTCACTCCTTTTCTCTGGCATCCTCTCTCTCCTAATTTGAAGTAGAACAGTATTCCATTGATAGCTTAAAGTCAGCAGGCCATGGAAAAGAGGCTATGTGAAATTGGGGCTTTTCTAAGAGGGGTGTGTGTGTGTGTGTGTGTGTGTGTGTGTTAACAATATCTTCAAGTCAGTTGCAGTAGGCCAGCTGGATCCCTTATCCTATATCTAAACTGTCATACTTTGGAAAGATGAGAGTTTCAGTGATCTACAACTAGTGGGTTAAGTTCAGAGTTCTAAATCACATAGTAAGAAAGACTGGAGAACAATTATCCTATGAAGAGCCATTATCCAGTGCATTTGAACATAGTTTGGATTAAATTATCCAAACTGGCTGTCCTCACCACCCAAATTTACTAGATAATTGTTCTACTGTCAGTTTCAATTTCAGGGGTGGTGGTGGGTATACCTAGGCCTAAGGGAGTTGTTCGCAGGGACAGGCTTTGGAGGTGACTCTTCTTGTTCTCTGTTGTCAAAATAGGTGCATTGCCCAGAAAGCTGATCGAGACTTAGATTCGATATGAAGCCTTGAGATTCCTTGGGGATAGATGGCATCTTGGGCCACTGCCCACAGCTTGTGTAGCTCTTGGCATCTGTAGAAGACTGACAGGAATTTGTGTCTTTGAATTCTTCAGTTGGAAGTAGTCAAGGTGGGGCAGGAGAGTGGAGTATTCCTGGACTAAGGAGTTCTTTTGTTCAGTCTCAGAGCTTTTTATTCCTTCTCTCTTCCATTATTAATAAAACAACGGTGTTATTACATTACTGATCCTGGGCCCAATTGAATATTTGCCAAGAATTCCATGCTTCCACCTCACACGATGATTTTTCTTTCTGGGATTTGTTTGTTGAATCAGTTTACTTCTTCGTGGTCCAATAATCACTAACTGGAATCCTCTCCATCTTTCATCCTTCATCATTAGAAAAAAAATATAGTATCACTTTCAGTCAAGAAATAAATATCCCAAAATGAAAAGCAATATTTACTGAACAAAAACAACCCAGAGCCTTGCTTTTCTGATGAATAGGAATGAGAGGTGATTTAGGGCTCAGTGCATTAAAACAATGAGTTACTCACATCCGTACCTCAATCTTCATAAGAAAATCAAACAACCTCTTTTATGTAAGTGGGGGGTGGCTTGATGAACTCTTCAAGTCAGTTATAGAAAAGTGTATTGGCGAGGTTTAAAGGAAATACAAAAAAGGAGATCAAAAACTATTTATTTTATTCTGAATTTAGATTCACAGCTGGAGCTTCAAGAAGCACTGGAGTGACTTACCAAGCAATAGATACTCTTCAGTAGTATGAGTCCTGTTTGTTCAGTTACTTCCTCACAAGACATATAGCTTTAACCATCTACTCTGAAGACGAAGCTATGCTTTCCAACAAAAGGGTGATTTTGGACCCATTGGATCCTGAAGTCAGAGGAGATCACAAATGATTATGAGTTCTCAATACAGGGACTGGAAGATACAAAATCATATGTTGCAGGGCTATTATATAATAAATCCAGTTGCCTCCAGGCTTTAAAATCTATGCTTCTTACAATCTTTAAACACAAAATCTCATTCTCTATTCTGCCTAGAGATATAGAAAACACTGACTAGCTTCAACTTAAATTGAAATTTAAAATGATCACTTACTAGAAATGGGGAACATTATTTGGGTATAGAGTAGAGCTTTATTTTGGTGCATTTTTAAATGTCATATTTTAAAACATATTCAATTGGCTATCAATGCTGTTCATGAAAGAGAATTTGTTAGAATCTTGAACTCAACAGAAAATAACTATCCCTTAGAATTTAGGGAGCTGCATGAAACTAGTGTATTTTTATAATATCTTTTAATGTATATAGTTTAAGCAATTTCTGATTGGATTTTATAAGACACTTGATAAAAGAGAGTAGGAAAAGACACTGTGTAAAAGATCAATTTAGGGTTGTTTTTCCTTTGTGGGGGGGTGGGGGGAAGAGTGTCTTTCCCACTACTTGAATCAAAGATAACTTGCTAAATTTCATTTAATAGTGTACTTTTGGGGTAAAACTTTTGTTTTAAAAATGTTGAACTTCAATGCAATCAACCTAACCTTGTTAATAACTAGTTACATTTCAACTAATTCATTTCAATGGATGAGGTACATGGCAATTTTTCAGTCATTTCATCTGTGTCACTATCTGGACTCTTTGTCCATTCATTCACATTCACTTCTCCGTTTCTGTGGTTGTGGAATGTACTTTTGTGTGTACTTTTTTTTTTGCTTCTTTTTTCAAATTCTGTTGAAAGTTCTTTTAAAATTTCTTTGCATTCCTTACTTTTTTGTCTTAAATGCATTTCATTACATTAATATACTACATTTGAAAAGTGTTCCACTGCTGGTGGAACTTTACATTGCTTTCATATTTTTTAAAAAAATTAGTCATAATGTTTCTGTGAAATTAAAACTCTCTCTCTCTCTCTCTCTCTCTCTCTCTCTCTCTCTCTCTCTCTCTCTGTAGAGTCATATGTCTCTTATTTAGAGATAAAACCTAACATTATTGCAATAGTTGCACTTAAATGACGTGGAGGGCAGGGGTGGGGAGTGGGGTGGGGTTTGTTTGTTTGTTTTTTGTTTACCTTGCTTAGTCCAATCCTCAGAACAGTATGTGAGGAAACCTATTTGCAGACAATAGGGTGTGGAATCTAATCCTCACTGAGAGCTTGGGACAGAAGGTGATAAGTGCAAAATGTCAGGTCACATTCCCATCTTCCTTCTCTTTATGCAAATTCTCCAGCAAAACAACTATACATTGTGAAGCAGGTTTTTCCATGGAAAAGCTAGCTGTGGGCACAAATTCAACTGAATTCCCAAAGAGATTTCCCACAGAGGCTCCTCCATAAAATTACAAAGACTGGGAATGTTGCCCATTATTATTATTAATTTTTTTTCCTTTTTGGTAAAATGTCTTCTGGCTTCTTTCAGAGCCGTATCATTTTCAAAGATCTGCTGTCAGGGTAAGAGCAGCTGAAGTTAAATAGCCTAAATGCTAAATGTAGCTACAGAATGGAAACTTTTCTTGAGTCAAAAAAACCAGTGGAATATTCATAGGAACTTAATATGATCCTGGGACACAAAGTCAATGACAAAAATTTATTTAAACTATGAATTTTTCCTCCCTTTGGTTGTTGTTCAGCAGTGACAGGGTAGGGGATAAGGTAAAATGTCAAAATCAGTCTGTATGCAGCATGAGAAAGTTTGAAGGGGACTCTCCAATTTTTGTCCATGTTAGGATATGTTAGGAGTGATACTGTAGCAGTGGGAGCCACTGGTTTTATTAATCAGAAAATGATACCCTCAGTGCCTAGTGGCCTCTGCCTTTATGGCTTGACTTGTTTGGGGATGTTTGCTGCATGCCCTAGCATATTCCTAAAGATTCATGTAGAACTGTGAAAGCACAAATCTAATGGATGTGAGGCATTATCGCTGTCTTCAAGAGATCACCCTTTAAAGCTAACCAGTAGAAGTTATTTATGTACTTACAACAAAAAATCCCTTTTGAGAACTAGTAAACCATTTTCATTCCCTGCTTCTCCCTCCCCCCCGAACTTTATTCTAGTCTATGGTTAATTTAATGTTAACCATTTAACAAATTACTGCCTCAGTGCATTGACTGAGAGCTCCGTCTGGGTAACTTGACTGGTTAGAGTACCATGTTAATGAGGTCATCAATTCCATTCCCACTGGGACTAGTTAACTTTACTGTATTCCATTGACCAGAGACTTTACCCCTAACCTTTGCCATCCATCCCCAAATATATGTTGGTCTCAAGTAGGCTTGAGTGAGAGCCATTGGATGAATTAGCAGAAACCCATCATGCCTAGAAAAACAACTCAAAACATGTATTTTATCGACAGAGGATCAGCGTCATCATCTCTGTAAATGAAAGAGAACACACAGGGCCCTAAATGATACCCAAGTGGCCTTAGAAAATTCGCAAAGCTTCATTCTTTAGGAGGAGGGTGGGCACTGGGCAAAATTTGTCTGAATATTTTTAAGCATCTTAGGTCCTATATATCAAAGCGATATGACATACAGTTTAAATTTAGAAAAGAACAAAAGTTTTGAATGTGATAGCTCACATTTATGTGTTATATTATGGCTGCAAAGCAATTTATGTATATCATATCTTTTCATCTTCAGAACAACCTTGCACTGTGGTGTCAATATTATTATTCCCATTTTATAGATGGGGAAGCTGATGCAACCCAGAGAAGTTAAATATCTTGCCCAGGTTTACACAACTGGCAAGTGACAGAGCCAGGATTCAAATTCATATCTGAGTTTCAGGTTGGTGTTTCTTTTGTAACATTCTGGCTTGTGTGAAATAGAGGTTGGGAGAATCTCATGGTAGCATATAGGGAACAACTTACTGGTCTTTAACTTTCTATTATAGTTTTTAAAAAGATAGATTTATTAAAAAAGGCTTATGATAGACTTCTTAGTGCATAGGACCTGGTTCTTTCCTCTGTGCAAGTTGCTTCTTGACACAGTGTTAAGAACAAAGGAAATCAGGTTGATTTTTCCATGTAAGTAGAGTACCATTTGTGTACTACCACCTCAGGGGCCTTAGGTCAAGGTGAAATTATGTTGCTGATATTTTTGCTAATTCATATACTTCTTCATGGATGTGCTCTTATTATCTTTCTTTGCCTTTTCTTTTCTTCCTTTGTCCGCCTTCTATTTTGCTCTTTTGCCATCCTACCTTAAAAATAATTTTATTGATATTTTTGCTTTAACGTCACCTTTATTTGCAAATTTACCTCTCTTCTCTTCTCTACTCAGTGATCAATTGCTTGCCACAAAGAATTAGGATCAGAGGATTATTGACCTGGAGCCCAAAGGGACTTTAGAGGACATCTAGTCTAACCCCTTCATTTTACAGATGAGGAAACTGAGCCACAGAGCCATTAAATGACTTAGAGTCTTGGATTTAGAACTGGAAGGAACCTCAGGGGACATTTAGCCCACCTCCACTCATTTTAGAAATAAGGAAACAGGGGCTCAAGGAGACTGAGTGACTTGCTCAATGTCATCCAGGCAGTAAATATCAGAGGTGGGATCTGAACCCAGATCTTCTGACTCCAGAGCCAGTATGCTTTCCCAGAGATTAAAAAACAAACAAACCATTAAACATTTAAAACATTTAAACAAAACATTAAAAAAGTTAAGCCCATCAGTAGAGTCTGACAATATTTTTTCTTGATGTCTTTTCTCTTGCCTTCTTCTTAGACAAGGTTTATCATTGCACTTACATAATTTTGTCTGTTCTATTTACATTGTTGTAGTCATTCCTGCTTTTGCTTGTTTCACTTTCCTTCCTGACTGTTTTTTTGGATCTTATTCATATTCCAAAATTGGGTGGCTAGGGAGCACAGTGTATAGTTGTGCCAGGCTTGGAACCAGGAAGACCTGAGTTCAAATCTAGCCTCAGACTAGCTGCATGACCCTGGGCGGGTCACTTAACCGTGTTTGCCTCAGTTTCCTCATCTGTAAAATAAGCTGGAGAAAGAAATGGCAAACCACTCTAGTATCTTTGCCAAGAAAATCCCAAATAGAGTCATGAAAAGTTGGACATGGTTTAAACAACTGAATAATAATAACACTATTTTATGATTATGGTCTAGCTCATTCTCTTGGAGGTATCACAGACCAGTGAAAAGAATCCCCTCTTTAAAACATAAGACAGCTGTACTTCTGGCTTGACCATTAACTACCTGTAAGTTTGGCCTTTGGTAAATCACATCACCTCTTGACGCCTTGTTTCCTACAAGATGTTGGGAATTGACTAGATCAGAAGTGCCAAACTTGAAGTCAGAGGCTGCTACTCCCAAGTAGGTTTGAATGAGATTAAATTATAATTGGAAAATGTTTAACAAAATAAATAAAAATGCAATACAATATAGATAATGTTAATTTGTGGTTTCCTAAGTCAATATAAGTTGGCAAGGATCCTTTTCTATTTGAGTTTAATGCCGCTGGACTAGATGATCTTTAAGGCTTCTTCTAGCTTTAAAATTCTATAACTCAACAAATGAACATTTAATTTGAATTCCTTTTTTTCTTAGGGAAAAAAGAAAACTAGCATTTAAAACAAAGTATGCCCAGTAGCCAGAGTAGGCCATAAGTACAAGTTAGAAACTGCAGCAATTACCTTCTTACAGCATTGTCTGATCTGGCATGACAGTAAATTAATCATGTCAGATAAAAAAGTCATTTGAGCACACCTTGTAGGGTCAGTCATATCATTTCCTACTAGGAAAATACCACTGGGTAATTTCATTGAATCTGTGATGGGTTTTTCTAGAGCACCTCAGTAGAGGGAGGAGAGATCAATAATACCAAATCTTGAGTTATCTAAGTTAGGTAAATTATTAGGGCTACTTCCTATTTAGCCTAGCCCATAACTATCATTCACAAGATCATAGATTCAGAGTTGGAAGGAACTTAAAGTCTAGTTGGTCCAACTCTCTCATTTTACAGATGAGGAAACTGAGGCCCAGAGACTTCCCAGATGCAAGGTTTCCATTCATTCTAAATTTAGTGCTTTTTTCATTATATTATATTAAGAATTTGAGTCAGTACACTCTAATAAAAGTCTAGGCAGCCAGTCTGAAGCCCAAGGAAATGGATCAACTCTGTAGGGAGGAAGTTAGATTATTAGCTTCAGTTATACAAATACTGGATTTGGAATCAAGGATCTGGGATTGATTTTCACTATGGCCATTTCCTTAGGGAAGCCATCTAATCTCTCTGAAACTCAGTTTCCTTATCTGCAAATTGAGGGAATTAGACCTGATGACCCCTAAGATCCTTTCAGGCTCCGCGTCTATGATCATATGATCTCATTATTTAAATATCCAGTTAGTTGAAGAGGCAGATTGGAGAGGGCATAGGAACCTTACTGACCCATAATTCTGGAGTTCTGCTGAATCAACTCTGGCAGCATACACCCTTTTAATTCACAACTCCCTATCTGACTCTCATATTCTCTTTCCCAATAACTCCTTCTAGGAATAAAGAATAAGACCCCACACATACTGTTATTTAGTCCAGCCTTCTTGTTTAAAAAATAAACAAACTGAGGCAAAAGATGTTAAGTGAATCATTGGAGTTTATATGGGCAAGAAGTGGCAGAACCAAGATTTGAACCCAAATCCTTCGACTCAAAGCTAACATTCTCTTTCTACTGGACCACACTGTCCCTAGAAGCAGAACAGGGTTTTTTGTTTTCAAGTTTATAAGAGACTCATGTGACTTTAAAATGTACAGTGCCTAGCACTATGTGAGGACACTTAATAAACATTGAACAATTACAGGCTGTAATAGAAACCAGATTTAAGTATGTCAGAGGATTTACAGGATAACCATCTGCCAGTAAAGCTCTGGACAGCTGGCTACCCAGCCAATGCATGAATATCCCTGGAACCACACCTTGGGCTTGCTATACATGTTACTCATCATTATCTCACACCTGGTCCTGAGTCATTCAACAGACAGAACAGAACCTTATCATCTTAGCAGGCAGGAGCTGGGGCCAACCAATCATACTTTTCCACAAGCATGGGACAGACAGGTCTATATCTCCCACAAGACAGAAAACAATGGCCTTCCTATAGTGAAGAAACACTAATTAATTGAGCTATTACTAGAAGGGAAAAAAGTAAAAATTAAGCTGGGGAGAGGGAAATTAACAGACTTTTATTGACTTTTAGAGACCCTTTTGGCCATACCAACAACTTCTTGTTATCCAGATAGAACCAATACACCAATAGCTAGATGAAACAAAGGGTTTAAGAGACATTTTAAATAACTATGGTTTTTCATAGGATTTGTTTAGAGCTGGAAGATATCTTAAAAATCGTCCACTCTGATCCTTTCATTTGCAGATAAGGAACTGAGGTCTGGTGCTGTTCAGTCATTTGTCTAACTTCTGGTGACCCCATTTTTTTGGGGGAGTTTCTTGGCAAGATACTGGGGTGGTTTGCCATTTCCTTCTTTACAGATGAGGAAATAAGGCAAACAGGTTTAAGTGACTTGCCCAGGGTTATAGGGCTGGTAAATGTTTAAGGCTGGATTTGAACTCACAAAGATGAGTCTTCCTGACTCCAGGCCTTGTGATCTTCCCACTGTGCCACCTAACTGCTCTGAGGTCTAGCAAGCTTAAATGCCTTGCCTCAGGTCTCACAGTAAGTAAGGAGCAGAGAACCCAGGTCCTCTGACTACAATAAATCTAGCCCCTTTCCCACACTGGCAGGCTGCCTTTCCTTCTTTTGGGGGCTTAAAAATTTTTTTTTAGAAGATAATCTGCCTGAAGACAGTAGTATAACATATTCTTAGTAACATTACTACCACAATGAGGATTTGATGAAGAAATAATGAGCCAGCCTAGTTCAAACAATAAGTGAAGTAATCGTATTTGCAGAGAATGTAAAAATTGAGAAGTATGGCTAACATGTTAAACAGTAGACTTTGCATATAAGAAGATATTGACAGACTGAAACAGTGGTCTAAATCTTTTTTTTCTTTTGCCTTTTTTAAGTTAACATGTATTTACTTTCTCATCTTCCCACTTTATTTCACCCTTCCCTCTCCATAGTGAGGGGAAAAAAAGAAAAACAAAACTCTACTAAAAACATACACAGAGTAAAGCAAAACAAATCCACACATTAGCCATGTCCAAAAAAATGTATGTCTTGATCTGTACCCCAAATCTATCTCCTCTCTATCAGGAGGTGGTTAACACACATCATTATATGTCCTCTGGAATCTTCATTGGTCAATAGATGATCAGGGTTCTTAAATATTTCAAAGTTAGTTGTCTTTACAATATTGTTATTACAAAATAAATTGTTCTCCTGTTTCTGCTTATTCTACTCTGCATTATTTCATAGAAGTTTTGCCAGGTTTCTCTGAAACTATAAGTCATTTCTTATAGCACAATTGTATTCTGTTGCATTTATATACCATAATTTGTCTTGCAATTGTATAATTGGTGGTTATCCCATAGTTTCCAGTTCTTTGTCACTACAAAAAGACTCGCTATAAATATTTTTGTACATATGGGCTCCTTTCCTCTTTCTTTTAACTTCTGGGGGTTTAGGACTAGTAGTGATATTGCTAGATTAAAGTTTAGTTTAGTAACTTTTTGGGCTAAACTTCCAAATTGCTTTTCAGACTGGCTGCCTCAATTCATAGCTCCGCCAACAGTTCATTAATGTGCCTGTCTTCATATAACTCCTCCAACATTTATCATTATTTTCCTTTTTTTGGGTCAGTTTTGTCAATTGTATAAGTGTAAGGTAGAACCTCAAAGTTGCCTAAATTTTCATTTCTCTAATTATAAATGATATGGGGCGTTTTTCATGTGACTGTGGAAAGCTTGGGTTTCTTCCTTTGGAAACTGTTCATATTTGTTTACCATTTATCAATTAAAAATGGCTCTAACTTTTTTTTGGTGAGGCAATCAGGGTTAAGTGATTTGCCCAGGGTCACACAACTAGTAAGTGTCAAGTATTTGAGGCTGGATTTGAACTCAGGTCCTCCTGACTCCAAGGCTGGAACTCTATCCACTACTCCACCTAGCTGCCCCCTCTAACTCTTATAAATTTGATTTAATTCCTTATATATCCTGATCATGAGATCTTTCTTAGATAAACTTGCCACAATTTCTTTTAGTTAACTGTTTCCTTTCTAATTTTAGCTGTATTGGTTTTGTTTGTGCAAGAACTTTTAAATTTTATGTAATCAAAATTGATGACATTTTCATCTTCTCTGATTTCAGGGATCAAAAATCTAAGAAGTTCCAGTTTAATAGTGACAGATGTGAAGACCTCCACTTGGGTTAAAAAAATCAACTTCATACATATAGGATGGGGAAAATGGGCCAGATAATAGTTCATAGGAAAAAAAGATCCAGGAATTTAGTGAACTGACAACTTTCAACAGGACATTGAAGAAAAGCGTGATGTCTGCAGCAAGTGAGATTAATACTCTAAGTGGACCCTCTTGTGGTTAGAACACTCTTGGAACATTGTGTTAAGTTCTGGGTACTACATTTTAGGAAGGGCATTGAGAACTTGGGTTGTTTCCAGAGGAAGCCAATCAAAAAGGATAGTGAGAGTGAGGGTTGGAAACTATACTGTATAAAGATTGGTTGAAGGAACTAGCAACGGTTAGCCCGGAGAAGAGAAGACTTAGGGGGACAGGATAGTAGTTTAAAAGTATTTCAAGGGCTGTTACATACAAATGATATTAGACTCATTCTGCTTGGCTCCAGGGAGCAAAATTAGGAAGAATGGGTTGTTGTGAGCAAAGTACTTTCTTTTTTTAAAAACAAATTAATTAATTTATTTTTAGTTTTCAACAATCACTTCCATAAGCTTTTGAGTTTTAAGTTTTCTCCCCCTCCCTTCCTGCCTCCATCCCTAAGAAGGCATGCAATCTGATACAGGCTATCCATTCCTATTAAACATATTTTCACTTTAGTCATGTTGTAAAGAAGGATTAGAACCAATAGAAGGAAACACAAGAAAGAAGAAACAAAACAAAACAAAACGGAAGAAAAAAAGAGCAAATAGTATGCTTCGATCTGCATTCAAACTCCATAGTTCTTTCTCTGGATGTGGATAGCATTTCCCATCATAAGACTTTTGGAGATGTCTTAGATTCTTGCATTGCTAAGGGAGCTAAGTCTATCAAAGTTAGTCATCACACAACATGGGTGTTATTGTGTACAAAGTCCTCTTGGTTCTGCTCACTTCAGTCAGCATCAGACCATACAAGTCTTTCCAGGTTTTTCTGAAGTCAGCCTGTTCATCATTTCTTATAGCACAATAGTATTCCATTACATTCATATACCGCAACTTGTTCAGCCATTCCCCAATTGATGGGCATCCCCTCATATTTCCAGTTCTTTGCCACCACAGAAAGAGCTGCTATAAATATTTTTGTACATGTGAATCCCTTTCCCATTTTTATGATCTCTTTGGGATACAGCCCTAGAAGTGCTATTGCTGGATCAAAGAGTATGCACATTTTTATAGCCCTTTGGGCATAGTTCCAAATTGCTCTCCAAAATGGTGGGATCATTTCACAACTCCACCAGCAATGCATTAGTGTTCCAGTCTTCCCACATCTTCTCCAGCATTTATCATTTTCCTGTTTTATCATATTAGCCAATCTGATAGGTGTGATGTGGTACCTCAGAGTTGTTTTGATTTGCATTTCTCTAATCAATAGTGGTTTGGAGCATTTTTTTCATATGACTATAGATAGCTTTAGTTTCTTCTTCTGAAAACTGCCTGTTCACATCCTTTGTCTATTTATCAATTTGGGAATGACTTGTATTCTTATAAATTTGACAATTCTCTATCTATTTTAGAAATGAGGCCCTTATCAGAGACACTGGTTATAAAAATTCTTTCCCAGTTTTCTACTTCCCTCCTAATCTTGGTTGCATTGGCTTTGTTTGTGCAAAAACTTTTCATTTTAATGCAGTCAAAATTATCCATTTCGCATTTCATAATATTCTCTATCTCTTGTTTGGTCACAAATTCTTCTGTTCTCCATAAATCTGACAAGTAAACTATTCTTTGCTCTCTCAGTTTGCTCGTAGCATCAGCCTTTACATCCAAATCGTGTACCCATTTTGACTTTATTTTGGTATATGGTATAGTAAAGTACTTTCTAAACAGAAAAGTACCATATAAATGTTATGACAACAATACAAATTATGTTGTTGTTGTTAAGTGATAAATTTTGGCTCAATATGAGGGAAAACTTTCCCCAAGTTAGGTATAACATGGTGTGGAATGGGTTGCCTATTATCTTATTAGATCCTCATAACAATCTTGATAGGTGCTGTTATTATCCCCATTTTACAGATGAGGAAATTGAGGCAAACAGAGGATGAGTGACTTGCCTAAAGTCACATAGCTAGTAAGCATCTGAGGTAGAATTTGAACACAGGACTTCCTGACTCCAAACCCAGAGCTCTAGCCATTTGTATCACTTAGCCTGCCCCAATTGTGGACTGGACCTGGTGGACTTTGAGGTCTTTCCAGTTCTGAGATTTCCTGATTCTGCACTATATAAATTTGGTCTTGTAATTGCCGAATCTAATGACTTTTTCTCAGCTTTCATCTTTCTTGATTTCTTTGCAGCCTTTGACACTGTCAATCACTTTCTTCTCCTTGATATTCTTTTATCTCTGTTTTTTTTTTTTGGGGGGACACTACTTTTTCCTGGTTTCCCTATCTGCCTGCTCTTTATCAGTCTTCTTTGTTGGATCTTTATCTAGTTCACTCCCAATAACTGTGGGTATTATACAAGGCTCTGTCCTGGGCCCTCTTCTCTTCTCCCATTATACTATTTCACTTAGGTGATCTCATCAGTTCCCAGGAATTTCATTTATTTGCTAATTTATTAAGCTATTTATCCAGTTTTCCTTACCCCTATGCTGACCTCGAGTGTCCCATCTCCAACTGCCTGTTGGATATCTCAAACTGGATATCCTGTAGGTATCTTAAACTCAATATGTCTAAACCTGAAACTAATCTTTTTCTTAAAGCCCTCCCCTCTTTCTAACTTCCCAATTGCTGTCAAGGGTGTCGTTGCCTTCCCATGCTCACGATTTAGGTATCATTCTCAACTTTTCATTTTTTCTTACCCACTCATATCTAATCTATTGCCAAAGCCTATAAATTTTACTTTCACAACATCTCTCAAGTATGTCCCTGTCTCTTTTCTGACACGGCCACCACTCTGGTATAGGCCCTCATTACTATATGCTCAGACAGTTAAAATAGCCTGCTGCTTTGTCTCCCTACCATAAGTCTTTCCCTACACTAGGTCATTGTCCACCCAGTTCCCAAAGTGATTTTCCTAAAGTGCAGGTCTTAACCACATCACCCCTCTGCTCCATTCAATAAACTTTCATGGGACCAAACTTCGATAAATTCAATTGACTCCTGATAATCTCTAGGATCAAATATAAAATCCTCTACTTGGTGTTCAAAACATAATATAGCTTCTCCCCACCCCCCTCATCTTTGCAGTCTTTTCATACCTTATACCTCCTTCCCCATGTACTCTTCAATCCAGAGACATTAGCCTCCTTCCAGTTTCTCAAACAAGACACTATCTCTTGACTCCAGGAAGTTTTTCTTAACTGACTGTACCTCATGCATCGGATATTCTCCCTCTGTAGCCCAACCTCCAGGCTTTCCTGGCTTCTTTGAAGTCCCAGCTAAAATCTTACTTTCCACGGGAAGCCTTTTCTGATCCTTCTTAATTCTAGTATCTTCCATCTCTTGGTTATCTCTAATTTATCTTGTTTGTACATAGCTGTTTTCATGTTGTCTCTCCCATTAGATTTGGGAGAGCTTTGGCTTTTGTCTTTCTTTTTCATCCTTATTGTTTAGCCTAGTGCTTGGCACTGACTCACTCACTATCAGAAAACCTAATTTTACTCCAATTTTCTGGGTGTTTCAGGTAAAAATAAATTTGGGGAGGAGAGAAGTTGGGTTGAATTGATTGAATAATTACTTCAATTTAAATTTCCTTCCACTAATAAACCTGGCCATAGTAGTGAGACTGTAAAATGTGATGATTTGAAAATCTACTTAGAATTGTTCAAAAAGCAAAGAAAATGTGAATAACAAGAATAATGACATTTATACAGGACTTTAAGTGTTATAGAACTTCACAAAGGTTTTCACATTAATATACTGTAATCTCTAAACAAGAGACACATTTCAAGCTGTGGTTACTGTCGCATGATCTTGATATCATTTTTTCAATCAGTTAACCCAATATGCTTATCATCTCTATGCTGATAATTCTCAAACCTATTTATCTGGTTCTCCTTACCTCTATGATGACCTCGAGTCTCACATCCCCAGCTGCTTATTAGACATCTCAAACTAGATATCCTCTAGGCATCTTAAACTCACCATGACTAAGACTGAAAGTCATTTATTTTAACCCCCAAACCTTTCCCCCTGCCTAACTTCCCTATTACTATCAAGAGCACTGTGCCAGTTCGTTTTGATATGATACGAAAAGGAACCATTCTCTGCCCTCATGGACCTTACTTTCTACTTGTGGGATATAATATTTTCAAAATCAAACATGGGATACATTCATAATAAATGATTGGGATAGGAGCATCAAAAACTGAGGGAATTGATAAAGCTCTCCTAAAACATGTGGCTCTTAAGCTGGATCTTAAGAAGAGGTATGGGCTCTTTTTTTTTTGCTTAGGCAGTTGGGGTTAAGTGACTTGCCCAGGGTCACACAGCTAGTAAGTGTCAAGTGTCTGAGGTTGGATTTGAACTCAGGTCCTCCTGACTCCAGAGCTGGTGCTCTATCCACTGCACCACCTTGCTGCCCCAAGGTATGGATTCTAAGAGATGAAAATGGTGATCAAGAGAATTCCAGGCATAGGGAATAGTGTATGCAAAGGCAAAGAGGGAAGAGTTGGGATGTTGTGTACAGGGAACATTAAATAGGTTTAGTTAGCTGGAATGTAGAATATATGAGGGGCAATAATGTATGATCGTTATGGAAAGACTAGAATGCAAATTTATGAGGACTTCAACTTATCTGTCTATTAAACTGCCCCCAGTAGGTAGAAAGGTCTTTGTTGCACAAATCCATGTTATCAGCCTGGAGGTGATCTTGGTCCATGCCTTTTTATCACCATGGAGAAGCTGAGAAACCTTGACACCTGCTCCCTCAATGGGAGTGGGGAGCTCAAACATCCTTGTTGTTGTTCAGTTACGTCCATCTCTTTGTGACTCCATGCACCATATAATACTGTCCATGGAGTTTTCTTGGCAAAGATCCTGGAGTGTTTTGCCATTTTCTTCTTCAGTAGATCACCTTTTATCAAAACTCTCCATTATAACCTGTCTGTCTTGGGTAATGCTGCACAGCATGGCTTTTTGTCACTATAGAAAAGCCAAGGAACCTTGACTCCTGCTCCCCCATTGGGAGTGGGGAGTTTCAAGCACTCTTGTAGTCTCCCACAATTCCAAGAAAATTCCAAGAGATTGTGATGCCTAGAGAATCTCTGCACTAAATATACCTCTCCATCAGGAAGTAGGGAGTGTGCTTCACCCTTAAGGAGCCATGGTGGGAGACAGCAAATTTCATAACACATGTTAATGCTAACATTTCTAAAAGTATGAAAGCCTTTTGGCTAGATTTACTGGGGAGTGGGGATGAGCAAATAATCAATTTCTTTCTTTTGGATCAAATGAGATAATATTTGTAAAGTGCTTAGCACAGTATCTTTCACATAGCAGGCATTTAATAAATTGTTTTTTTTTCTTTGTTTCTTTCTACCCCCTTCCCTGTAGAGTTATTGGGCCTCTACAATTTAGGAGAAAGAATTGAAATTCTTGAAGCAGACTCTCTCTACTTCCATCACTTTCAAGTTTGATGCTATAATTAAAGTTCCATGCACTACACAAACTAGAATTTGGAGTCCTATAACCCAGGGTGGCCACATTGGTGCCTTGATCCTCTGCCACCTCTCTTCCCTTCTTTTGATGCTCATAACACCAAACTCCTTTTTAACCTGAGATTTATTCTAGGTTGTAGTTCATGAGTATAGCACAAAGTTATTCATTCAGTCACTCAATAAACATTTATTAAGCATCAACTTTATGTGCCAGGCACTGTGCTAAGTACTGAGGATACAAAGAAAGGTAAAAATAAACAGTCTCTGCTGTCAAGAGATTCACACTCTAATGGGGAAGACAACATTCAAATAACTACATGACAACGAGCTAAAACAAGAGAGGGAAAGCACTAGAATTAAGTGGGGGTAAGAAAGACTTCTTATAATGGGAATTTAGCTAGGACATGAAAAAAGCTAGGAAGTGGAGCTAAGGTGAGAGAACGTTCCATGAATGGGGGACAGTCAATGCAAAATGCCTGACCAGGAGTTGGAGTATCTCATCTGAGGGACAGAAAGAAGGCTAGTGTTGCTCCATCAAAGATAAGGAGGGAGGGTGTAAAGTGTAAGAAGATGTGAAGGTAGTGGGAGGGCAGGTTATAAAGGATATTGAGTGCCTAACGAAGATTTTATTTGGCCAAGATGACACCGTAGAATAGTATAATGTATAAATTTCCAAACACTATAAGTTTTTAACTCTAATAATCTCTCTCCTGCTAAAGGCTCTTCTAGATCAACCTCTGCCTTTGTTATCCCTCACAATGCCAACTGCATCCATACTTCAAAACTTCAAAGAACTATAATTTCACTGGTGGTGTGGATATCTTCTTCCTGGACCTGAACTGTGGTTACTTCATAATTTAGTAGATGATCTTCAGGAGTTGACATGGCCAAACAATTCATCACTTGGAAGCCAATCTGGGGGTTTCTCTGAGTCCAGCTGGAGATTGGTCCTTGGCTGACAAAGATACAGCACATCATTGGGCTGTGCTCAATAATCAAGGACATATTAAGCTCTTATTATCTTATTATGTGCCAGGCGCTGTACTAGGTCTTGGGGATGCAAATTCAAAAATGTGAAAGTTCTTGCCCTCAGGAAGCTTATATTACATCAAAGGATAAAATGTGTAAAAATATAAGCATATGCAAAGTAATTGCAATGCAATTCATTAGGAAAACTGGAAGTAGGGGATTGGGAAAGGTCTCTTTTTTAAAGAAATATTTTATTTTTCCCCAATTACTTGTGTTCCACTAGTTAACCTCTGAGAATCCACAATGACGAGACATCAAAGGAGGGTATTAGTGGAGGGAGAACTTAGCATAGTACAACTGATTAACTGGTGGCTACAGTGATACAGTGGGAAGAACAATAGTTCTGGAGTCATGAGCCCTTAGGTTCAAATCCCACTTCTGATTTTTTTCTACCTGCGTCATTTAACAAGCATTTATTAAGCACTTACTATATGACAAGCACTGTACTAAGAGCTGAGGATGGAAAGAAGGGTTAAAACATAGTCTTTGCCCTTAAGGAGCTTATATTCTTATGGGTGAAACAACATGCAAGCCAGGGGTAAAAGTGAGGAAAGAGAAAATGTTAGTGAAAAGATGCAGAGTTTGGAGACAGTGTGTTATGTCTGAGGAACTGCATGAAGCCTAGGTTGTAGAGTATGTGTAGGAAAGTAAGGTATAGGAAGACTGGAAAGGCAGGAAGTGGCCAAGTTGTGATCTTGAAAAAAAATCTCTTCATCTCCCTGTAAAGTAAGGAAGTTGGTTGGACTAGATGACCACTGGGGTTCCTGCCAACTCAAGTTCCAGGTCCAACTCAAGAAGAACTCTCTAGCAAGACCAAACTTCCAAAGGGATGTGGAAGTCCTTTCATCTGGCTTTCCTCTTTAAAACTGGTGTGTATGTGTGTGTGTCTGTGTATGTAGATCCTCAAAATTCTCTAGAGCCTCTGACAGTGTTGTTTGTAAGAGGCAGTGCTTGGCACCATTACTGTAGAATATTCTTATTAACATGCTTTTCATAAGCAAAGCACCACTCATCAAATATTTATAAGCCATAGACAGTGAAACTGATGTTTTGCTTGGCATGTGTGGGGACATTTCCCACATGCTGTTGGGTGGGGTGTGGGCAGGTGAGAGACCGTTCAACTTGATGTCATGGTCTAGGCGCTCTCGGGTGAGCTGTTCTTGGCGTGGTTTCTTCATGGCTGTGGGCCTGATTCTCCAGTCTCTCAGAACTCCCACTTAGCCCCTCCTTGCATGGAGCTCCCTTTGAAGTCCACAGGAGCTCTTTGAATGGAAAACATACACAACGGGGTGTTGATGCAAATAAGAGTCTGGCCTTATATGCACACTGAATAAAGGTGATTCTCACCCCAAATATTAGCTCTCTAGCCCAGAAAGTATAGTTTGATCATTAAATAAAAGAACCAAAAAAAAAATCCTCCAAGGAGATAATAACCAGCTGATTATTGGAGAGTTTTAATTAAAGCAACAGATAAAATAAGTGGAATGCTTTGTTTTTACTCTTATCATATCAATAGGATAAGCATTCTCCTTTTTCTGGGGCAACTTGCTAAATGAAAAAGTAAACATTAACAGCTTCTGAAACCTCCCTGATATAGAATGATAATTTAGAAAAATATCTCTATTAAGGATAGTTATAGATTTTTTTTGGGGGGTTGGAAATGCAATCCCCAAATGAGTATGTATCCGCAATCTATAGACAGGCTAAGTAAATTAAATCACTTACTGTCTTTTTTTTTCAATAGCTCTAAAGTTAAAAGTAATTTGCAAAGAAAATACTCAGTTTGAATTGGTTTGTAATATCTGTTAATGATCTTAAAAAAGAAATCCACTTATTCACAATCCCATCCCTGAGGGAATTCCAATGTGCCATCAGAAAAATTTCCCAAGTCTGAAATGTCATTAGCTAGTGATTTCTTTGAAGTAAAAATCTGTTAAAGAATAAATTGCATCAGGTATACAAATGTATGGGACAATCACTTTGATGAACAATATGCTTTTTTCCCCCTCCTGATGTTTTCTGTTCCTAAAAGCAACAATTTAAAATCCAAGCTGTTAAATGATGGAGATGTCTTAGAATTACATCAGTGTATATGTATCTTCTCACTCATATCGAATCTTTACATATATTTGTAGATTGTTGATGTAAAAACAGTGGAGTTGGAAACAATTTTGATTGTATTCATTGTACTTGCCTCTTGGAAACGTAGTTAAGTAAAGGTGTTGCCATCCTGGAATAAAACAATAGATCATTTAATACTGAATCCTGGAGCTGAGAGGGGCCCTAGCCAGATGCTTTGAATGAAGGTGTAAATACTACACAACACTATGAATTGTTCAGTACTAGATAACGGACCTGGGAAACACTACACCAAAGGGAAAATTTTCTTCTTGACCCCAGCTGGCGATCAGTTTGTGCCTGGAAGTTGGACAGCCTTTGTAATCTAATCCTAGCTAGTATAACTGCAGATGCTAGTTTTAGGTTTATAAATAGCAAATCTCTTTTTTTAATATTGTTTTTGGAGAAGGGAGTTAGATTTTTTTTTCCCTAAAAAGCCATTTACTTCAGTGATTTCTACAGGTTAATTATACATTGCATGAAAAGGCATCTTCTTGGAGCCATCCTAAATTTGTTACCTTTTAATCTCACTTTATATGACAAAGTAGGGAAAACGAGAGCCTCTAGCTGGCCGTCCAAGTCATCATTTACTATTTTGTATATTGTCACCTTTAGATTTCTTCACCCTCACTTGTTTACTTATTTTCTAGATGAGCAAAAGGGCCTTAGTTTTATTCATTTACCACATTGGAGAAGGGTTTCTTTGCTTCTTAATTTACTTTTCCTTCAGAATACCTTTCCAGTCATTTCATATTACTTCCCTTTCCTCACTCTCTATTCTTCTAGATCTTCCCAGTATGTGATATTCTATCACCTGCCTCCATGCTGCTGCACATATAGGTCCTCATGTGTATAAGAGACTCATCCCTCACCTCCACCTTGTAGAATCTCTAGTTTCCTTTATTTATACCATAGCTCAGGTGCCACTTCTTCCAAAACATGGGATCTTTCCTGATCCTAATCTCTAAATCTTGAAATTACTTTGCATAAACTTAATTTGTATACATGCTTTCTTCCAATAGCACATAGACTCCTTGAGTGTAGAGGGGACTTAATTTATGTCTTTGTATTTCTAGTGCTTAATGTAATAACTTGCACACATTTATTTAATACATGTTTTTTGAATTGAGTTGAATAACCACTGCTTGTCTGCCTCCCAATTTATTGCCTGGCTATAGACCTTTTCTAATTCTGACATTTCTTTCCCCAGATAAAATGACCTAATTTATGGAAAGGACAGACCATTGCTCTTAATAAATAAATAGCTTATCATAGTTTCTGCACCCTTTCTTAATTCTCAGTAATTTTTTACAGGCCTGTTCCAAATTTGATATAGTTTTAACAGCCATAGCTTGCTCTCATTTAAGGGTGACAGAAAAGGAACTCTTTACTCTGAAACATCTAGTACATCAAATGAATTTCAGGGGACAAGTGGTTTAAGTGTGTATTAAAGGATAGTACACAGAAATCAAGGTAATGTGGCTGGTCAGTGTGGTGTTTGTTTAGTTCTATTGTTTTTTCATTGTATTTGACTCTCTGTGACCTCATTTAGGGTTTTCTTGGCCAAGATACTGGGGTGGTTTGCCATTTCCTTCTCCAGCTCATTTTATAGATGAGGAAACTGAGGCAAACAGGATTAAGTGTCTTGGCCAGGGTCACACAGCCAGCAGGTGTCTGAGGCTGCATTTGAACTCAGGAAAATGAGTCTTCCTGATTCCACCCATCCTTTCTATGTATACATTACCTAGTTGCCCAATGTGGTCCTTAGACATTCACTAAAGAATTCAGTGGCTAACAAGCAGGAGATCTGATTTCCAGTCCTCTCTCTATCATCAAATTTCTGGGCAAGTCACTTTATCTGTCCAACACCAAGTTTCCGTGTAGAGATCATTGATTCACAGGATTGTTGTGAGTAGGACTAGGAATCAGGAAGATATGGGTTTGCATTCCACCGTTGACACTTTCTAGCAGTGTGACTATGGGCTAGTGACTTAACCTCTCTGAGACTCAGTTTATTCAATTGTAAGGTGGTGGCAATACCACTCATAATACCTATTACCATTCCTAGGAGGCTTAAATGAGATAGAGTATCCAAAACACTTTTCAAATATAAAATCATGAATAAATGCTAACTTACTGTTTATTATCATGATTATTATTATCTCAGTTCCAAATGAAAATTTGCAGAGAAGAATCCATAAGTTAAAACCCATTTTCAGAGATAGAGGTTTACATTGTGTATTTATAGCTGCTAGGGAGCTCATCTATATGAAGATGCTATTTTTACAATAAGGGATGCCCTAAGGATGTTATATTACTTGCTTCAGGTTACATGGGTAGTGTTGGCAAGGCTAGGATTTGAACCCAACTCCTCATACTCTAAATCTGTGCTACTTCTCTGAATAGTATATTCTTGGCATTAAAGTATAGAGGGCAAAGGTAATTGAAACTCTTAGAAAACTCCTGCAACTAATTTTAGCCACATTTTAAGCTCTTTTTTCCCCTTTTAAAATTAATTTTTTGTTATATTTTAAGTTCTGAACTGTTTCTCTCCCTCCCCAACTCACACTAGAGAAGGCTACTATTTGACCCAGATTTGTAAATACATGTAAAACCATATTATGCATACTTCTTTTTTATTGCTTTTGAATTTAATGAATTGTCACTATTGAGAAACATTTTTACATTCCTAATTCAATTTGCAACTATACCTTGTCCCAGTAGCAAAGATGGGGAGAACAGATGGGGTGGGGGTTGAAATAAGAATTTAAGGTCTAAGCGGGCAATGACATAACTCATCATGCATCTTTTTGCATACTTCTGTTTATCAGTTCTTTCTCTGGAGATGGATAGCATCTTCCTTCATAG